ATCCTCCGGCAGCGGGGCCCGCGGGCGGTAGGGCTCTGCAGCCTCGCCGGTAGCCCCCTCCCGCAGGGTCTCCGCTCGCCTCCCCTCGGCCGCCGGCCTTCCCGGGGTCACCGCGGAGATGCCGGTGCCCCCCGCGCCCCGGCCCCTCGGTGGGGAGGGGCGCCCCACTCGCCGGGGGACGGGGCGGGATGCTCAGCCCCTTCCCTGCGGAGGGGGACACAGCGCGGCTCCCTCCCTCGCCCGAATTTTCCCCTTACATCCCGGCTCGCAGTGGAGGTTGGAAGAAGGTAGCGGGGCGCTGAGGGGTCTCCAGCCTCTCGGGATTTTCTCCGTTGTGGCCTTTCCCTCCTGGGCAGGGCTTTCCCGGGGCGGCTTGTCCTGCCGGACGGGACAGAGCAAACCCGCGTGTCCCGGCGGGGCCGGGGACCGTGGCCACGGCCGGCTGGCGGCAGGCGAGACACGGGGCTGGCCCCGGGCTGGGGTCGAGCGGAGCCGTGAGCCCGGGCATGAACACAGCAGCCTCCGGGCCGTGCCGCCGGGACCCTCAGCAGAGCGCCGGCAGCAAGGGCACAGCTCAGCCGCTCCTCGGCGAAGCGAGGCCGCCTGTTTGACAGAAGGGTATCGCGTTTCTTTTCTCCGCCAAGGGTTTCCTTTTGGGGTGAAGGGGAAGGCTACAAAGGGGGTGGTGAGGTTGATTCAAGGTAAAACTGACGACTTCACTGAGCCCTTTCTCGCTTGCCTTCTTATCTCGGTGCCTATCGCTGGGATGAGAGAGCGAGCCGTGTAAACCGGCGCTGATTGCATCAAGAACCTCAATGGTGTGAGGCGAGGCCACTCTTATTTGTAACTGTTTTCCCCACTCTCCCCCCGCTGTCCCTCTCAGAGCTGTTAAATATCGGCACCATAAAATGTGGGGGATTTAAAGGTCTGTGGGAGGCTCCCTTTGAAAAGGACTCTGGGGAAAGTCTTTCTAATCCAGGATACTTGAGCCGGATGGGGTGGGATTGCTAGAGAGGCATAAAATAAAAATCGTTCAGCGGACGAAACTAGGGGCTACCCTGAAGAGTAGAAAGTGCATTTGTCTTGATGTTTTATTTCGTTGGAGATTGAAACTTCTTGTGTGCTAGTCCATGTGTATTAATAGCTGAGCAAGCCAGGAGAGTGGCATAAATAAGCGAGGCAGTGGAGAAAGGATGGGACATGTATGTGAGCCAACCTGCAGCTAGCCAGCCAACTCACTCGGGCAGCATTAACACCAGTGGGCAGAGAAAGCATGTAGAAAAATAAATACTCTGTGAGAAACATAAGGAAAACATTAAACAAACGGGGAGTGCACTCCCTCTCCTTGCCCTGAGAAAGCACGACAGAGAAACTCTGCTCACTGTCTCTCCAGCCTCTTCCCTTCGCTGTGTCCCTGCTCCAGCAGAGATGCATGGGACTGATGTGTTGGGAGACAGCCCCAGGGACTGCATGGGTCACCCAAGAGCCTCAGCAAAACCGGCCTGTGGAGTGTTCACCAACCGAGGGCCAAGCAGTAGGGCAGCGTACGCATCAGTGACCAGCAGTGGGGGGGAGAGGTGGTTTATTTGCTGTGGAAAGGGGCAGAGACACAGACCGAGGAGAAAAACAAAGCTGTGCCTTGACTGAAGGCAGGATTCAAAAAGCGGCAGGGTGAGAGGACGCCAGGAGCCTGGTTGCCTCTACAGACCAGCCCCATTAGGGGGGAAGAAAACCACCCAACAACAATAACAAACCGAACCCATAAACAGTTACTGCCGTTCTGCGATAAAAGGGGAAGATTTATATTGTTGAAATGTGTGGAAGGAGCTTGTTCCAGAGCAAAACTCTGGCGTGCAATTCTCTGTTTATGTCGCTCATCCCGATGGATGAGATATCAGCGGCAAAGTTCAGGCTGACATCAGCCCTGGGGAGGCAGAGCCAGCGGCCGGGCTGGGCTGCGCAGGGCTGCACAGCTGGGCCTGCGCTCGGTGGGCCATCGCTTTTGGGGGGATCCAGCATGCAAGAAGCCTCCCCTCACCAGGCTGGGACATGTGAGGAGCCAGCAGCAGCACACACTGTGGAGAGAGTGTTTCCTTGCAAGCAAAACAGATGACTCGGAAACAGTTCCCAGGGTGGTTTTATGTGCCTCCCTGTTTTGGGGTTTATTAAAGAGGGTGGGGAGGGAAAGAATGGCTGATGGTCTGTGTGTTGCCGGAAAGTCAAGTATGTCTGTTTTACTCAGCTGCAATGAAGCCAGCAGCAGAAGTCTGTAAAATCAGCTAGGTATTGTTGTGCTGTGGTTTGTTTGTTTTTTTTTTTTTGCTGGTGGTGGGGTTTTTGTTTTGTTTTGTTTTTTTATTATTTTTTAGGAGCATAATCCTTTAGTCAAAGAGTAATAGAGTGTGGTGTTTTCACTATTTTAATTCCTGCCCATTGGTTTCTCTGTGCAAACTCTCACAGCTAGAAAATTTTGATTTCAGTTTTCCAAATTGCTAATACATTGTATTAGAAAAAAAGGTGGCCTCAGGATCCTCAGATTATATACCAAATAAAATATTAATATTCAATTAATAGCTGATATTGTGTTTGCCTAAAATGGTACTCTAGTCATAAAAACTAGCCATGTGAACAGGACAGCTGAATGCTCACCCTTTGTCATTCTTCTCTAGACTGGAAATAGTTTGTGTAAGTGAACAAAAGAGTCACTAATTTGCCTTTTCAACTTGGGAAACACAGTAAAGGAATAAAGGCCTTGGATTACTTCTGATATATAACTTGAAAACGAAGCATACTGTGTCCGATACATATCCTTATTTTTCAGGTACTGATCAGAGTGTAGATGGCATGGGTCAGACTTTCCCACCAAGGACTCATCCCTGGTAGCTTCCCCACAGGTCTGGGTCACTAATGTCTGAGAAGTGAGAAGGGTTGGAGGACTGGAGCAGGAGTTCTGAGTAAAGGTTGCACAACTCGACATATCTACTATTTGTTAAACACCCACAGTATTCTTGGCACCACACAGGACCCCAAATCATGACAGTCTTTGCTCCAGATTTCTTTTTTCCTCTACAAACTAAGGGCAAGCACAGTTGGCAAGGCACACAGAAAGTCACCAATACATAAGAAATTACCCAGAGCATGCACATACAAACACACACACATTTTGTGTTAAGTACTTACATTTTGTAAGTATTTGTGTTTCTGTGTGTGTGTGTGTGTATTACTATTCTTTTCCACATTTTCCAATCTGACAGTTGTTAAATTTCTCTGTGTTTCCTAACATTTGTTATTTAGCCATGTTCAATTTAGGAGGTTAATCTCCTGTAACATCATGAGTATTCTCAAAAGCTGTTAATATCACAAACAGAAGATTTTATTTAAATAGTCTAAGTATACTGAAAAAAGTGAGTGATGAAAAATGCTTTACTCACAACAAGTTGATCCTAAGTATACTTTTTAAAAAATAAACTGATTCTTAAAGATCCTGTCCCAATATCTTTAAAAATGTCTTTATGTTTCAGATATTTAAAACATCTAATGGCAAAACACTAACAACATGTGCAGCAGAGAACAATCCTACACTGGCAACAAATAGACTAGATGACCTAATTGATTTTTCCCATTTCCAACTTGTGCAATTCTGTCATTGTAATAAAATCCCAGTGTAATCAAAGTTTACAGGATCAGGTCCTAAATTAGCATGTCGATCTGGACTACCCCTCTGTCTGGATCAGGTCCAAAGCCTGCTGTTGTCAGCTTGACCTTTTATCAGTCTGAGAGAGGTTTGGATCTGATCTTCGGGATCCCACTAGAGAAGGGCTGAATTGTTGTTTTATTGTATGCAGGGAAAAAAAAAAGGCGTATTTGTGGGAAAAACACACAAACAAATTTTGCAGCACAAACCTTCCAGATGCAGTTCAGTTAAGAAAGCCCAACAGGAAGGCCTCAAAATGAGAAGTTTTTGGCACAGAGGAAGTTTTAGCAGTTAATAGGAGGATGATCAAACCGTGCTAAGTCATTGTTTCCCTGTATTCATCTATCAGTTGGTCGTCTCTTGGACTTGCGATCAGATTGTAAAACTCTTGGGATGCAGACCAACTTTTTGTTCTGTGTTTGCAGAATCTGTGCCTAGAGCAACTGTGTCTGCAGGAAAAAATCTCAGCATTGCCATGAAAATATCTGTGTATTTTGGGTGTAAGTACTCATTCTAGAACAGAAGCAATTAAAATATCTGTGTATTTTGGGTGTAAGTACTCATTCTAGAACAGAAGTAATTAACATAAATGTTTTTCTAATGTATGCTAAATTGAAAAAAAAAAAAACAACTTTTGATGTAGGCTGACTTTAACCACCCAGAAGGCAATGCTAGAATAACTGTACTGGCTTAAATTCACGCATCAGTTTGCCCAAGTCTGGTTGTTGTGTGATGACAGCCCATAGGGTGGAACTATCACTGGGTAAAGCCACAGCCGTCTGACACATCCATTTGTCTAGGCATTGATTTCTCTATGATTTCAGTACTTGGGAGGAACTGTTTTCTCGCTTTGGCAATGTTTCCTGTAAATTTCTTTGGTGTTAATGTCCATCTGAGTAGATTCCACACTTACCCAAATGACTTGCTCATTCCCACTTCCTGGGCTCTGTTGGTCCAAGGGTTTGGGAAATATCCAGCTGAAAAATGGAACATAAAAAAGGGTTTTTTCAGCATATTCAGTTTCCTGGTCTGGTACACCATGAGGAAATGAAAAACCTGACATGTAAAATAATAAGGGCAGGGAGTGTCTCAAATAGGTCAGTGAAGCAATCTTACTTCCCCAGCTGAAATTACAAGTGTAGGGTTCCTTGGAAAGGCAGGGACGAGGGAACAAGCCCATTTCTTTATGCGTGTGCTCACCCTGCACGCGGCGTGGGTGACAGGCAGGTTGCCTGGTGTTCATACAGAGGAGTAGGTGGGCATGAAGAAGGACGATGGTGCACAGTGTTGATGGAGCTCATGTGCTGCAGCTCCAGCTGTCCTCAACAACACCATCCCATTGCCAGGATAAACTGAAACAATTCAGCTCCAGTGACCTGAAGTCATAAGAGGCATTACAAGATTGTAGGAGCTGTAGCTGAGGAACACAACATAAGGAACAGAGCATGCAACCATGAGTTACCCTGCCCTGTCTTCACTAAACATTGGTAAATGTGTCACTGGTACTAACTCTATGGGATGTTTCAGTATTAGGCAGATAGTACTGAGCAGTCTGGAACACTTCTGTACCCAAATGCTCTTGTTGCTTATTTCAAGGCATAAGGTGAAATTCTGGGAAAATGCAAAATGGTATTCCTGAGGAATATTATTCTCTGCTTGACTATGGTGCACTGGTGACACTGTACTCTTCAGAAGGACTTTTAAGCACAAGTCAATGTCCATCACTATGCCTGGAGAGCTTGAAGCAACTGGATATGTTGCATCAGTTCATATTTTTGCATTTGGTTCATGAGAGCTGAAGAAGGCCCTTGTACTTTTCTGAAGAGACAGACGTTCCCTAGTGAGAATCTTACCCTCTTTGTGTATCTTCCAGCATATTTGTGACCACTGTTCATGAATGGAAAGAATCACACCGTGTTTTACTTCTGAACTTAGTTTTCTTTTTGCATGAGGCTGGTGGCTGGTTGTTGAATAACAAGGATTTAGTGATGTGCATCTTCTACTAAGCTAATATCTACATCTATTACATTGAACAAATTACAAATCAGGCATCAGATAGCTACAGCTTAAAAGCCAAGATCTCATGAAATAGGGAAGCATCTTCAATTTAGTAGTGGCAAATCCTATCCCGTAGGCATGTGACTTTGCAAGTGACATCCAGAATTCAGTATTTAGATGTCTAAACTCTCCAAATAAACTGTGGCAATAGGTGTTCCTTCCAACCTGCTATCAGAATCAACATTTATCCTGAACTGAGAGCAAGCAGGAGCTAGCAATAAGAGGACACTCAGCCCAGCTAGGATTTTCTGCCCAGCTAAATATCCATACATGCCTGAGTCAGCCAGCCTCCTCCATCAGGGGAGAAGTTTCCTTTCTTTCAAGATCCTTTCTTTCAAAAAAATAGTCAGTTGTGTCTTTTTCTAGAGTTCCCTTTAGCCCAATGGCAATGAAACTTGTCCACTGAGTGGACCCATGCTCCATGAGTACCTTCCATGGGAGTGTGATTCAGGGTGCAATTGCACCCCACACCCTGAGCTCTCAGTCATGTGATTCTTTGGCTAAGATTGCTTCACAGACTGCTTTGCTGCATCTGTGCCACCATAAACATTCCTGGTGTCAGATGATAAGAAGGAATTGATTTTAAGGCACATGAAGGGAAATCTTATTTTTTGTCTCTTTTTTTGAAAGTATGTTTGCACATTTCATGTTCCATTAAATGGAAATTTATGAGCAGAGACTGGTGTCTTCTGGCTGCATATACCCTAACCACTAGGAAAAATCGCTATTGTTACCATTTCTGGTTTTCTGTCCCTGTTTTGTAAACAAGCTTTTGTACCCTGCTTGCTGAGAAGGGCCTGGTTCCACTGGTAGCTGGGTCTAGATCCTCAGTGAATTTAGCTCTGTTTGGCCCACAAGCTGCTCACGCAAGAGTCCTGCCTGTGCTCTGCGTCTCTGCAGGAGCTGTACTCTGAGGAGCATTCACCCCAAACAAGGAAGGACATTGTGAATTTAATTAGGTTCTTCCAGCCTCAGCTGCTGCTGAAGATGATTCTTAAATCACAGCTTTCTGCACAGCTATCAAAATCCCTTTTGGATCAAACCTCTCCTACCAATCTGCTTTAATATGCCTGCAGGGTTTACATACACTGATAACATTCAAAGCCTCACAAGGAAGACTTTCATGGTCCTTACATCATATTGTCCCACCAACCTTCCATCTAAGAGTGAAATAATATCTCCAACTACCTAATCTGTTAATTACTTATATAGTTAACTGTTTGAGAGGATTTTAGTACCCACAGACTCATAGAAAGGCATCTAGAGTAGCACTTTGCAGCAGGACTTATTATTAAGGCGTATTAAGGACATTATTCAGACTTTTTAGGAACATTGTTAAAAAATGGTATACTCCTGGATAAAACATTTATTTATAACATGTGGAGTTAAGAGCGTTTTATCTTCAACAGTAGCTTCTACAATTGGTACTGGCAGTCTATTTAGCAAGCGCCAGGCTGTTTAACCATGGGGTTTGCATATAAGGAGCACACGTATATGTTTTTCAGGAACCAGAAAGCTAATTTTGTACTATGGAGTCAAGCAGGGCACATGGTAGATAACAGTCCCCTTTCACATTCTAACACAGGATTGAGATTTCTTAACAAAGGCAATAGAGTTGCAAAACAGCATGACTTTGTTGCAGTTAGTAATTAATGAGGTGCTAAAAGTGCCTAAACAGAGGATCGCAGACAGAGAATGCATGACTCAAGAGGATAAGAAGCCCCCATCATTTCAAACAACAGTGTCATTTAAATAAACAAGCAGCAAGTCGCTGGGTGTGTGAGGTGGGAAGGAGCAGCAGGCAGCAGCAACATGCTCTGTCAGCCAGCACTTTTCTGACTGTGAGAAACCAGTTGGGCTTTTGCAAATGCAGCCGGAGTCCTTAGGTGTGAAACATTTGTTTAATCCATTATTGAGGCGCGGGGGAATCACACACTCATCGATTCTGCCACTTTTCTGGTGGCATGTTAGTCAATTCGATTTATAACCAAAGAGCAGTAATTGCCCTGAAGGCTGCTGCCAGACACACCGTGCAGGATGAAGTCTACCTGGCAGGATGGTTTTTGTTGTTTTCCCCCCATCATAACAGACATAATTTTCTGCGTTCTCAGATGAGATATAAACCACTTGGATTGTGCCTCCTTATTTTCTGTTTTCTTTTTTTATTTTTATTTTAACAAGCTTGGGAGATTTTGTGTCATTCTGCAGAGCACTCCAGGATTATTATTTATTTTAAGCAAAACTAATTCCAGTTCAAGTATTATATGAAAATAGCAAAGGTTTATAAAGTGTTTGTCCTACGATGTTTACTTTCTTTCCAACCAAACATTTATAAATAGATTGAGAGAAATGTGGCAAAGTACCAAAGTCATCCACTGAGATATTTCATAAGAAACTATAATGTAAAAGTGGAATAAAGGAGCACTTTTGGAAGTCATATTTGTTAGTGAATTCTTTTAGTGTAGGGGGATATGATGCAATATGTCATGTTGACTCTCTGGAGGCTATGGCATAGTGCTCCAAATTTATTCCTGGAGGTACTGCTGTGCAGTACTTGTGTTGTATTCAGAGTGAATTTATCTATATATTGATGCAGCAAGAGAAGACAAACTTTGGGTTTCTTCTTCCCTTTCTTTTGTGTCTTTAAAAACCTAGCAACTGAGAAGCCATCATGTGCTGGAAAGTATTGGATCTAGTTAGTAAGAAATCCAGTTTCTCATTTTCACATCCAGGCAGTTCAGTAAATGCACTTTTTTTTTTCTTCTTATTTTTATTTTTTTCTTACCCAAGTATTTTTTCATCTTACTGTCTGGCAAAGAGAGAAGGAAAATTGTGCCTGTCCTGTATTGCCTCTTCATTATTACATATGAAACTTATGGAATGTATTTGATGTTCTGCTTTTTTTCATTAGAAACACAGACATAAATGCTTTGAGAGACTCTGTGACTTGTTTCCACTGTGCTTTTTCTTGAAAATTCAGTTGTTTATTCTGTGCTACCTTTTCTTCTGTTCAGCATCTCACTACCACCTGTGAAGAAGCCTGTGCAGCTCCCCAGAATGGCAGTGGGAGCAGTAGCATACACAGTGTCCTGCACAACGGGAGTCTCACCAAAAGGCTTGTAATGACCTAAGTGACTGCATTGGTCCTGCTCGTTTAGAAATGGGTAATCGATCATTTCATTTTAGAAAAAAAAAAAGACATTTGGGATTATCAGATGTTGCAACACTATGTTAAGTTTGTTTGAATCCCCAGAGGCCAAAGTGAATGAAGGTCCTGTTCTACAACAGGTCCCCAGAGACATGGGTGTGCTCTGACTCATCACTGCAGACCAAATGAAAGCCCTCTTACTGCATTTAGTTGATGAAGGCTTTGGTCTCCTTTTTGGAAAATGTAGGCATGCACAATTACAGCTCTGTCGTCTCTCATTGACAAAGAAGCCATACCTTTGTTTTCTGGTGTCAGTGAGGCACTGAGGTGCTCTGGTCTGAGCGATGCAGGGGCTTAGCTGTAACTGGCAGAGAGCTCTGTTAAAGAAAGGCTGCTGGGCACAGAGGGATTCTTGCACTTGGAGAGAAGATCGGTGGGACTACAGTGAGTTTCTGCAACAATAAAGGAATTTCCTGATTCAAGCTTTTCCTTAAATATACTCTAGAGGGAGTCAAATCTAAAAGTTTATTTATCTTTAAAGTGTTTCAATTACAGCTCTTTCTTTTAAAAGGTTCTGTTTGTTTCCTGTTTATTTATTTTAGGCTTGTCTATTAATACAACAATTTTGGTAGAATGTTTGTACTTTTTCAGATCAGGTAGGTGTTAATAGTACTTAAGAGGCACTACTCAAAGTGATATGTCACTGTCATGGCAATAAATAGCCCTTGAAACCAGCAATCAGTTTTATCTTTGAAGGAAGCAGGGCCCTAGGAGACAAAAGCAGAAAAGAAAGTGAAAGACTTTCATATTCCAAAGAAATTGAGGTATTGCTTGCATCAAAGTCAATTTTCTACCATAGTTGACACCAGGTTTATAACATGGGAACTTCATAGTAGAAACATAACTCTGAAACAGATATCCCATCAGTTGCACACTAGCACCTTGAAGGAAGGCTGTGGCCATACTCTATTTAAAAAAACAGTTCATTTTTAACATTAGTATGTAGTTTGAATCTGCATGCAACTATCCTTAGTTTACAGTGATCACAGCACTGTGTTTTATGGAATTAAACCTACAACAAAGGGTGAGGGGAGGGAAGACTGTGCCCCTTCAAAAATTATTTTGGGTGACAGTGTCTCCTGGAGCAGATCTACCTCTCTTTAACCTCACTTTGCATACTTATCCAGTGTAGCAGCAGACAGGAAATTTTCTGCTTTTATTTAGCTTCCACTGTTACAGCTGCTAAATGTCTCCTGGCTTTCTGACAACAGCAGAAAACAAGCATTTGTCAGAAAACCATGAGTTCAATTTCTTGCCTTAGAGGAGAGAGTGAGCAATGCTCATGAGGTTCCCCTCTAGAGATTCCTCCACAATCATTGAAGGAATTACGCCCACTGCCTCACAGAAAAGACTATCTGGTATCTGGAAACCCAGAAACTCCACAAATTCCCTGAGATCTAAACACTCAGCAGAGATAATGAGTGGGAGGCTAGAGCTAGCAGTTGAATTTCAACCTGGTTTCACTCATCAATGAACACAACCTGGTGTAACTAGGCAAGTAGAGCCCTGCTTGTCCTGGGCTTTGTGCTGTGAGGGGATCTGTATTTTTTCATGGGGAAAATGAGAAAGATGTGGGGGGTATAGTCATGGGGTTAAAGTTGATCTGACCATATATCTGCATATGAACTTGTCTTCTTGACTGCTTTTGTAGTCAATGGAAAGACACAGGCATTTTATAACTGATTTATTTGTCTTGTGATAGATGTCTAAAAGAGCTGACCTGAATAGTGTCCTAAAATATGTAAATGCCTAAAGTTAGATGAAATAACTTCCCTCCTGCACTATTGTGTATAGACAAAGGAATGTGTAGAAGGAAGGTCAGGCAACTGATAGAGTATGAAAAATAAACCCAAGCTCATTGACATTTCTGATTTCCAAAATCACTTTTGTTAGCTTTGTTTCACCCAGGCTTGGGGCATTTTGCATAAACCCCTGGAAAACACCACTCCCTCCCTCCTCTTGTGCTTGTGTCTCCTAGGTTGATGAGGGAAATTGTCTGTCCCTGGGACATCCATGCCCACATCCCTCTTTGCCATTACATTTGCTATGGACTCCGCAGCAAGAAATTGAAAGGCACATCTTACCTAATGGTCTGCATCACATGGGCACAGGCTTTTCCAGCCCATCATCTGCAGCTTACTGCCCATGTTCTTCCCAGCTTTCCATGTCCAGGGTAGCACTTTGCCCAGGTTGCTCTCGCTGCCCAGTTCTCTGCTGAGCATCCTTGTCACTGCAGGAATGAAGGACATCCCTTCCTCTGTGGCAATCTCCCTGCAGGAAAAGTTCTAACTGATTTTGGAAAAAGGAAATAATTGATCAGAAATCACTGATTATGTCAGGGGAGAGCCACCTTGATATTTGTGTTTGGAGAGAGGAGGAGCAAGGGTTTGTTTTCCAGTTCTCCATGTTCTAGAAGGCGCCTTACCCTACCTAACCCAATCCAACCAAATGCAATCCAATGCCATCCAATGGTTTATGTTTGGCTCTGGTTGGAAATACTTCAAACTTTCCTGGTAGCATCAATGAACACACCACAATTAGAAATTTTAGCTTCAGTGCATCCTCTTTTCTTACAAAGCTGCTAGCTTGAAAACTTTGGTTACATTCCTCAGCAATATTTTTCCTTTAGTTCTTTCTAACCATAGAATTGAGCCTCCCTTAGGAACAACGTGGGCCATGGGACTGGTGGATGAACTGTGGCTGTGTTTTTCAAAGAAATCAGTTGTATGAAGAGGAAACCAGGGTTAATATGAAACATTGCCCTACACCTCACATTGGCTCAAAGAACATATTTTTCTTCTCTGCCTCTTTCTTTCCCTCTTTCTCTCTCTTTTGTATTTTTTCTTTTTCATTATTAAATGAAATGGATCATTTTTTCCAAAGTTCACAATGAGGAAGTGCAGATTCCGGTGTTACTGTTTATGTTCAGAAATTGACTACTGCCCAGCAAATTAAAACAACAACATCACTAGAACACTATAAAAAGGATATTTTATTCAAATTAGATAACTGGCTGCTGCTTTCACCTCATCTATGCTTTTATAACTAAGTGGACTCTTTCACACTTTTCATCTTCAATGCCCTTTGTAAGTGTTTACTCATTAGTCTTCACAGTGACCTCAAGAAATATAATTTTTTTATCATGTCCATATGCAGAGACAGAGATGACTTGATGAAAATCTCATTTTCCCTATGAGTTGCTTCCCAGCAGAACCGTTGTTGTACTGATGGTGAGAGATCTGGTGTGGACAAGGCAGCAGTAGTCACCAACACGCAAACCCTGCAATCTGCCCTGGGCCATGAATAGAACATACATATGGTGGTTGAATTGATAGTGATCAGTCACAGCAGTGTTACAGTTATTCCTACCTATTGGTGGAATTGCAGCAGTGAGAATGTTCTTTGGACCAAAATCAGGACAGACACAGCAAAAGAGATTTGCCCATAACCAAGCTTATTAGGTATTGCAACACAATTCTTGTGTAAATACTCCCATTAAGTTCAGCTGGAATTATGAACTCTTAACTCAGGATGCACTGGAAGTCAAAACTAGGTTGTGGAGAGGTGAAAATAGTAGTGCCAGTAATTCAGTTTAAATGGCTTTTCCTCGTTGTTTTTCCTTTTTTTTTCCTCAAAGCAATTCCTGATCTTGAAAGCAGAAGCATCCAAGCCTGTCTTCCTCCTGTGGAGGAGTGTGTTGCAAGCACTCTTAGATGGCAATGGGGTTCGCCTCCCAGTGCCTTGAAGCGCTGAAAAGGCAGAGGATGTGTGGCAAAAATCAGGGCTGATGAGCAGTTTTTGAAAGACAGTGAGTATCATTGGCTCCTTGAGATGCTAATTAATGATAGAAATGCAGTGCTGTCATCAGAAGTACTGTGGCCCAGATTTGTACTCTCAGGTGATCCAGATTGCAGAGTTGTCTGCCTCAAGACAAGAATTTCCACATATGTATAAAGTCACATATTAAACCCTTTAGAGACAGATAATTAACTTTAAATTAATAAGTATTCCTTATCCAGATTATTTTTCAGTAATCATCAACTCCCATCATTTTGCCTTCACCCAGTTTAGTGAGATGAAGTTAAACCCATCCAAGCCCTATATAAATATTATTTTATTTCTTAATACTAGCTCATTTTAATTCACCTAACACCTCTTGACAACTAAAAAGGCATTTTAAAAGAGGTGGAACTACCTCACTAGTTGGGATTTATTCCAGCTATTAAAACCACAGAGAATGTTGTACTGGGGTAGATTATGTTGCATCTGCCCTCCTGGGGATTCTTGTTCCTGCCTCTGCAGTGCCTTTTCCAAATTACTGCCAAAGACAAACACTGCAATATTCACAGATTCAGGGTTGTTGTGTCTCTGCTGCACCAAAAGTTCCCTGGTTCAACTAAACCACTTACACACAGAACCTTAAGAAGGTCCTGTCTCCTACCCATGATTAAAGAGTAAAGCTCTCAAGATTTTTGTTCTTGCTTTCCTGGCTCATTACCAAAACCACTGAGGAGCTCTCCTTCTGTCCTTTGCAAAATCTCACACAAGCAGTATGTTCCCTGGCAATCAGTGCCTTTGTGAAAGGGAGCAGCACAAAGACACAGAACTAAATTAAACTCAACTTTCTTCAAGTTGAAGCTGAAGGAAAAATCCTAAAGAAGTAGAAGGGGGGAAAAAAAAGCTTAATAGATTGAGCTCTTGCAGATACTATTCTTACTTGTGGCAATAACTTTTTGTGGTGGATTTTGATAGAATTGGGTCCAGAATGTGTATAAGACGGGTATTGGACAGGATTCTGCAATCTCACCTGGTGTTGGTCAGCCTTAACATCTGCACAGTTTTGGTTAGTGGTGGTTTATGTGGCTGGCCTGGTGTGCTGTGGTTAGAGATGTTATGACAAAGGCTTGTAACTCAGGGATAATCTCATGAGAACAGGGCTGTACCTCTTCCAGTGTC